TCGCCTGCCGGGTGTGGCGGGCTCCTTGAACCCAAGCCCTGTCTGTCTGCTGAGTCCTGGGAGGAGAATGCCGGCCTCACCAGAGGAAGGAGAACAAGGGGAGACGTCCGAGAGGAAATAGTTGGTAAAATATTTACAGAAGACGCTAAGAAACCGATTTAATTCTTGGTGGACAGTGGTGCTTCTGATACCCTCAGTCTGTGTCTCTCTCACCTACGATTCCCTCAATCCTTGGCCTAGGAAAAAAAAAAAATCCGTAACTTACTTCATTATAGGCAGTGAGACACACAGATTGACTTTCATCTCCATTAGGTAATTTCCTGGATATAACACTAGCCCATTGGATCTCCTTTTCGCAGAAAGTTCTGGTTTGTGCCGGGGATGGGGTGGGGGTGGGGGGAGGTGGCAGTTACTCCATCCTGAGACACCCGCGAAACTCCAAAGTTTTTTTTTGTATCTAAACGATCCCTTGTTGTACCTGACCCTAAAATGCATCTCTGAGTTGATTTCCGCAGCTGCACCTTTTTGTGGCCCCGCAGGTCCGAACCGTTTGCGATGCCATCTAGACAGTCCTCCGCGAAACCGACCCGAGCGGCTCGAGCTGGCAGCGCACCACTGCACCCGGCTGCAGAGGTCGAGGCTGCAACTCTCCGAGCAACCCAATACTTACAAAAGGAAGGTCGGAAGGACAAAAAAAGAACCCGAAATTTAAAATTTGCCCAGTTTCAGTTGTCCAGCTGCAGTGCGAGGCGCGGGCCGCGAGCCCTATAGCAGCCCAGGAGGCTGGACTCGCGTGGCCGCGTGCCGTGTATGTGTGTGTGCGCGCGCGCGCGCGTGTGTGCGCACGTGAGCGCGCGCGGGAGTGTAGCGGCTCCAGGGGCTGCCCTCGGTGGTCTTCTTAAAGTAGCCTCCAAATGAGCCTAATTTCGATTCTGCTGCCAGCCAGGGCTGGCTCTCAGGACTCCCTCGGCGCTGCTGGGCGCTGCCTCTCCCTCCCTCGGCCAAGACCTAGCCTGATCTGTCCATTCCCCGGTGTCTCACTGGAACCTCCCTGGGGGAAGGGGTGGGGGGTGAACAACTCCCAGGCGCCAGTTCCATTTGTTGCGCTTTTTTCATTCGACACAATAAAAGTCAAATTAATTGATTCATACCATTAATTACGGCGCGTAGCGTGAAAAGCAACGCTTCCCCTCGGTTAGAGATCTATTGTGCTAATCTCTTGTTCAATCAGTGTTACCATCTGATGCCGGGTCTGGCCCTTACAGAAACTTTTCGACTCGATTAGCTAAATGATGAGACGTTGCAGGACCTACTGGCTGCGGCACCGCCGTCCGTCGCCCGCGCCGGCCCAACCGCTTAATATCGATTTCCAGCGGAGGCAGCGGATTTTCCCGCGATCACTCTCGACTGGGGGACCTGCCACCGTTCTCCCCCTTCCGGGCGGACAGTGCCACCAGCGCAACCTCCCGGGGCCCGGAAGGAGGCAAAGCGGCGGCCCAGGTGGGAAGCCGGAAGGTTCCCGCAGTTCCCGCTGCGGGACGCCGCCCGGGCGGAAGGGCCGGATCCCGTGGCGGTGCAGGAACCTGCCCTACGCTGACTAGATTTTGGGCTAAGTAAATCCTGTTTGCCCCGTAATTGCAGTTTGCAGCTAAGAGCCCACAAATCGTCAGATACTGCCAAGCTTCAGGACAGAGCGAGACTGAAGAGGCGAGACAGCTACAGAGAGAAAGTGACACATTAGTGGGGGAAAGAAAAATGTGATAGAGGGAACGGAAATATTGGGGGGAGGGAGATACATGGATAAATATATTCTGGGTCGCAGAGGGTTACTGGGAGAGATGGAAAGAAGGAGGAGTACACACACAAGATTATTACGAGTGAGAGTAACTACTTGGGTCACAACAAGCAAACTTCCCTGGAGGGATTTAAAGAAGATGGCACCAAGCTGTCTCACCTGTTCAAAGGTTTGAACCGTTTCAGCCAAAGGAGAAGGGAATGAGTCTCTCTCTGTTTCTCCTGGGGCCGGCGGAGTCCGTGGTACCCAGGTGGGGCAGCTACCAGGACGGGAGCCGCCGTCGAGGGCGGGGTGGTGGTGGAGGGGACCGAGTTTCTAGCAACAGGAAACAAGAAAAGTGGAGTCCGGATCGATAAGAAGGAAATTGAGACGTCTTGGGGTAGGGGCGATGTAATGTGTTCTGGGGGGTGAGATGGAGGTGGGGGAGAAGTGGATGGAACAATTTATGACGGAGAAGAGGAAGTTAATTACAACTCAATTTGTGTTCTTAGGTGGTCAGCACGGGGGGAGGGGGCACGGTCAGAGTGTGTGGGAGGCAGGAATGGCCCACCTACCCCTCGCCAGGCCCAAGCGAACCCAAGTGCCTTCTTCCTCCTCCTTTAAGTCAGAGTATATGCCAATGGCTTGGATAAATCGTTGGCCCGAAGTGAGACAGAATCCTCATGCCCGTGCGCGGGTGCACTTTTCTTATAATCCGGGAAGATGGGACCAGGTTCTGCGCAGTGAGGGGAGCATCCCCCACCGAGAGCAGCCTCCCTCTCTCTGTTGCAGAGGGAACGAAACGTAGGTAGAGCGCATTTGGAAAATACCCCTCCTTTCTCTCCCCTCCCTCCCCCAACCCCAAGAACCAAAGTCGGCTCCTTCTCGACAATCTTCATACATTTATTAAACTATTATCAGCCTCTACCTGGATGGCCACCACCGAGGAAGGTGGGAATGGCCGAGATGATACCCAGGTCCCCAACCCACCCAGCTTATTTCTATTTCCAAGTGGGTGGGATTTTAAACGCACTTCCCACCAACCTTGTATATGTCTCCAGATCTCCTCGCGGTGAAAAAAAAGGGGCTAATTTAACGTTCTTGTTTGGATTTTCATCTTAAAACTTCTTTTACTTTCAAGGTGTCCGCCACTCAGGGCCCACGCCAACAAGTGCTTATAAATGGCGAAAAACCAAAGGGAAAGGAGAACCAGAGAGACAGAGAGACAGAGAGAGAGAGGATGGTTTCGAATTTATTTATATTGGAAATGTATAAACATCCATTCTGTAAAAGGCAACACGTTTAATTAACGATGAGAGAGCAGTTAGGGGCAGAAAGCTAGTAAAATTGTGTGATAAATTTATGGCATTGTTAGCGTGCTTTTAATTATGGCTATTATGTTAATTATTTCACATTAGCATGGAGTTATCAGCAGCATGTCAGATTTAATCAAAACGAGCCTTTCTCTCGAAAATTGTTCTTTTCATCCACGAGGAGAAAGGTCCTGGGCAGGATCGGGGCTTAAAAATGACTTGGCATTGAAAGCTCTAGTCTTTCCGACACGGTTTGGAGCGATGCGGCCGGGCCCGGCTGACGGCTGGGTCCCTCCAGGCTACCGGCAGCTTGCGGAGGAGCCGAGGGCTGGGTTTTTAGGAATTCACCATTTTCACCCCCTTCGGAGCCGACACTTCATCATATGGGATCATTCTGTCAAACAATATGCTGCTGCTCATTTTTATCTGTCCCACTTTACAAAACCCCCATTCAGCCCGCCGAGGAGCAACAAAAGCCTCGCAGCAGCGCTGCGGCCGCTGGCGGCCACTGCCCGCCCGGCGCGCCAGACTGAAAGGCAACAGGGGCCGAGGAAAGCAGGCGGCGGGCGCGCGCGCCCCTCGTCGTCCGAGGGAACGCGGCCTGCCGGGGCCCGCGCGCCCAGGTGACCGGCCCTCGGGTGTGGTCGGGGCGGGACACGCCTCTCCCAGGCCCGCGCCCGCCCGCGGCCTTCCCGCGGGCGCAGGGCGGTAGCACCTTTCTCTCCCCGCGAGCGACTCGCCCACCCAGGCCACATCGATTTCTTAATCACTGCCGATCGATTTATTGGGAGCAAATAAATAGCGCGTTTTGGAAACGTTTCAATTGTTGCCTTGATGGTTGGGGCGCTGACGCGGGCGGGCGCGCAGGGCCGAGAGACGCGCGCCGGAAAGGGCTTGTGGGAAAGTGCGGAGCGCAAAGGCCCAGCGCCGCTCGCCGCGGGAGTCTTGTGTATGCGCGCGCGGGGCCGCCCACCACAGGTGCCCCTGCGCCTCCATCTCGGGCGACGCCTCGGCCTCCTCGAGGGTCCGGCTTCCTCCTCTCGCAGTCAGCTCCCTCTGGCGGCGGGGCGGGCATGAGCTCAGCGCCAGCCTTTCCACCTTGTCAGGTCCAGGCAAGTTCGCCCGGGGTCTGATTCCTTAGTGAAGTTTTGCCTCAGGCCACCGAGCGGCCCTGAATCCAGTCCCTGGGACGCTCGCAGGTAGAGGCGTCTCGGGCCCAGAGCAGTCGCTGGCCTTCCGGCGCAGGACCTGTCCCTGGTTCAGAAGCGGCCTTCAGGCGCAGGACCACTCGGGCCCCCGCCCTTCCCGGCACAGGGCTGTGGACGCGCCAGCTGTTGCCTTATTTTTAGCGCCATTCCATTCGCGCGGTTATATTTAACTCGATCCACTCCTCCTCCGAGGTCGCTCGGACATCGAATTCTCTACATCGCAGCCTTGGCCCGCCCGCCTTGCCTTAGGGGCGGGCCCTCAGGGGCTGATTGGAAAACCCCTGCGGAAGAATCTTTGACATCTCTGGAGTTTGGCTAAGAGAGGAGAGGTTGAGAGGGCTGGTTCTAGGAGCAGTCGCTACCGCGCCGGCCTGCACACCAGGAGAGGTGCAGTCTTGTGTGGGGGAGGGGAGTATGGCGAATTAGCCAGTCCCTAGGGAAGGATTCTCTGCGGGGAGTATCGGGTCCACTTCCTTCTTATGCACGGCCCAGAGTATCTTGGTGACCTGGAAGACCTCTTACAACTCTGCCCTTCAGAAAGTTTATGATTTTTTTGTATTCATGCAGAAATCCCCTCTCCTCCCTACTCCCAAACACAGATTCAATAGGGTACTTAAATTTGAGTAGTATGTTGGCTCAGTTCCAGCCCTCTTTCCTTGACAAAAATCTCAAGAAGACCATGACATTGACTCAGTTACTTCCTGGGGAAAGGACCCACTTAGATAACACATAGAAATACCATTCTAATACATACTTTACTCACTCATATCAAACTGAATTTACAAACAATGCTAAAGCCACATACCAAAGGTACACATTCAAATGTGACATGACTTGGGAAAGGGAAACACACTGTTAAAATTTAAATTCTCCTTCTAACACTTTTAAAGAAGGAACTTTCTTAACCTTTGGTCCAAAGTGGGTATTTCTGGTAGCCTCTTTCTGTAGATCTCCCTACAATGTGTAGAAGGATGGAAGTCATACAGCTGAATTCAGGGGGAGAGGATTCACAGTTGACCCTTGAGCAACAGGGTTTGAATTGTACAGGTCCTCTAATAGGCAGAGTTTTTTTCCACAGAGTACAGTACTATAAATGTATTTTCTCTTCCTTATGATTTTTTAAAAGGTTTTACTTATTTATTTGAGAGAGCGAGCGAGGGAGCATAAGCAGGGCAGGTGGGGCAGAGGGAGTGGGAAAAGCAGACTCCCTGCTGAGCAGCAGACAGGGGGATCCTAGGATCCTGGGATCACTACTGGAGCCTGAGCTGAAGACAGACGCTTAACCGGCTGAGCCACCCAGGCACCCCTTCCTTATGATTTTCTTAATAACATTTTCCTTTTTCTAGTTTACTTTACTGTAAGAATATAGTATATAATACATATACAAAATATGTGTTAATTGACTGTTTATGTTATTGGTAAGGCTTCTTGTCAACAGTAGACTATTAGTAGTTAAGTTTTGGGTATGTCAGAATTTATTCCCAAATTTTCAACTGCTTAGGGGTGGGTGCTCCTAATCCCAGCATTGTTCAAAGGTTAACTGTATTTAACCGTATAAATAAATGTACATATATTCATTTACTCATTTGTTAATACTATATTGAACAGTTCTAGACTCTGGAAAGTCCTAGGGAGGAAAAGAATTAAATTCAAGGTTCTAGGGTGATAAGTATGATATGATACCTCTATATGATAGAGGTAGACAGAGCACTTAAGAGGTCTCAGTGGGTGGGAAATGAGAAAATATGAAGTTTTCCAATACAGAAGATATTACTGACCAGCTAGCTCTAAAGTCAGGGGCATTGGGGACAATTAGGGAGGAGTAAATTAGAACCTGGGACACTTTGGG